GCAGAGACTGAAATTTTTAACCCCTTTCTTTCATGATTGGGGCCTTGCAAGAATGCTGATCCTCCTCGGAGCTGACTAAGAAGAGAGATAAGAGATAAGATGAAACAAAGACCTAGCCCGAAAGACGTAGAGAAGACTAACTGAGTGAAGAGAGAGATGCTTAGAGTAGCCTTTTAGCTAGACTTTTCTTGTAGCCATAGACTCAGTTTGTTCCTGTGACACAGAAACTGCACTTAAGGGGAGGCAGTGCCTCAGAACCAGGAGAGTTCATCGTAAAGACCCCTCAGCCCCAGAAAGTTAGAAAAATATGGGGGGGACAGATGTCCCAAAGCAGAAACTGTGCCTTTTTAGAGTGAGACAAAGCATCCTTAAAAGACAACCCTAAAAGCAGCTCTAGTCCATGCACAGTAGTGAGAGCACTGAGCATAGAAAGAAGATGTCACAAGCAGCAAAAAGACTTTCCGGGCGGTGCCGAGTGACATTAGAAACACAGAAGTTTCAGCGTGTTTCCAAGAAAAGCCTATAAAACAAGAAAGACTCCTCTCCTCTTCATGAACTGAAGTTTGAGTATACTAAAGTGTGGTGCCAAGCTGAACAGTTAGTGATTTGAGAAAATGTATCAGATTGAGAAATTCAAGTAGTGGAGAAGAAGAAAGTAGTTTTTTTGTAAAGTTTTCAATTTTTTTTCCTTTTCCTTATAGTTTTTCCCTATTTTCCTGTAGTTTAAGTAATAAAGTGTTCTTTATGTTTAAGCTAGAGCCTATTTTGCTTATTCCTGGTCACATCTCACAGCAGACACCAGAGTGAAGACATTTTCATAGGAGCACTAGCTCTGTGCCAGGCTCAAACCATGACAACCTGAAGTAAGTATTCCTCATAGTCCTTAATCCTGCTCTCCATCTTCCAACCCCATGAAATGCAAGAGCTTCTAAACAAGGCCAGTAGCTTTTATGCTGTGATTCTTGAGGTGCACCTAGTTGTCTGTGTATCCAGCTTCTGGATTTATTATTTCTTACATTTCTCTGAACTTGGTGCTGCTGTTTCTTTACATTTTAACAATAAAACCATTTTTTCCCTTCTGGACTCTAGTTGACTTGGTCTGCTACACTGCTATGCACAGATTGTTAGTCTTGGTGTTCCTGTCTGGTCTGCAGGCACACACAGAGAATCATTCATGTTGAAGTGCAGGAATGACCTATCCAGTTGTCCATTGGCCTCTTTTTCTCCCCAGAACTTTTCCTCATATGCTATGTCAGGCTTGTGGCTCATTTGTGGCTCCATGCCTTAAAAGTGTGACTGAAGATGAATCACTACAATGACAGTAGCATAGTTTTCTTGTTTGCTGGTAAATGTCTGTTGTTAGGAATTGGACTGGTCACTTTGAAGATCACTCTTTGTCTCTGAACTACAGCAAGACTATGGAGGATCAGTTTTTCGCAGGCAGCAAGAAAAATACTTAAATTGCCTAAAGGGTTAACCTTGAATGCTAATCTGGTTCTCATATCTAGAAAGTTTTCACTCATCCTGTCACAAGCTTAACCTCCCAAATCTGACAATGTGCAATTGCTGAGGACAGTCTTGTTGCCTTACTGGAGAATCAAATTCTTGAATCAATAAGGTGAAGAGCTTTTACTGAGTCACCAAAGGCTCTTACATTTTGCACAATCCAAACATTGACTCTTTCAATGAAAAATGCCATCAATAAAGGGCATAAGGAAAAACAAAGACTGTAGAGATGAAGGATTGTCCATTTTATGTAAAACAAGATCATCTGATAAAATCATCACTAAAATTTTCATGTAAAAATTCTTCAGTTCTGTTTTTCTGAGCACACGGGCAAGAGAAAGGAAGTGCTTTCTGTGCTTTCTTTCTGCCTTATTTGAAGATATATCCAAAACAGTTTGTAAGACTTGGATCTAACTAATGATTTCTTTAATCTTGCCATAAAAACTTGTTTTCAGGATCTCAGCATCACTGTCTTATAGCATCTAAGTCTTTTTACTTTTGGTCACAGTCACATGTACCTTCTCTGGCTTGTATACATTGTATATCCTCCAAGGATATCTTTAGCATATGCTGTAGTCTTGCTCTTTGATAAAAGCAAGGCATGTCTTTGGCTAATTGAAAGTCAGGGGTTTTGCTTTGAACCTGAAATACTGTTTAGAATGCTGTATATCCATCATATGGAAGAGGATATTGCTTCTGGCTAAAAAAGAATAGTAAGTTCTTTGGTGAATACTTCCTGCTTTTTTTTACTTGTACTGCAAAAATTCATGTCATTGCTTTATGCGTGTAACTTTTTCTAGAGTTATTTGTTCTTAATCCAAATGCAAAGTTTGCATTTGAGAAAATCCAAATTGGAGTAAGAATTTTCAAGTGGAAGTAAAGGTCACTTTGCCATGTCAGGCAGGCTCATGTAGGACAAGCTGTGTCTTAACGTAGTGAAAGTTTTTTTGGTTGTGGGTTTTTCTTTTTTTTTTTTTTGTTTTTTTCATGTTATGGCAGGGAACTGTGTGGAGATCTTGATGGTGACATTACTTGGCAAACAATTTGGAATCAGCTCAGTAAGTGACATCACACCCCCTTAAGGTTTTCCACATCCTCAAAAAAAAAAAAAAAAAAAAAGACTTAATCTGAAAGCTATTATTATATCCTCTAAGGGCTCTTGAAGCACCTCAGCATTCCCTCTCTTCCCACCATTTTCCAGGCAGCTTGACTAAAAGTAGCAGACAATAGTGGTAAATGTTTACAGTCTTCTTGGGAATGGGAACAGAGGTGGGGCAGAGGGGAAGGGATAGAGGGATATACAGAGGGGCAGGGAAGAGTGTTTTAATCCCATGTCTGTCCTGTTTAAAAAATAAATTAATTACTCCAATGCTTAGTCTTTCCCTGTGTGCAGCTTTTCACAGTGTGAGCACTTTGTCTGATGTAACATTTTGCCACTCTTAGCAAGTGGAGTTGTCTAGCTCTGCCTCTAAGAGATGAATATGTCATACTTTGAGGAGAAGACAGCAGAGATGAAAACTTCCCTTGATCTCAGGGTTTGGTTCCTGATTGATGATGATTCTCAAGAGCAGTTCCTAGTATGTGCTTTTCTCTGTGTCTGTGCTTGCCTGCATCTGTACACATTTTTCTGAGGAGCAAAGCATTTTCTTGCCCGGCCTCTGAGCTGTGAGCTGTAAATCCGGCCGTGTGCTCGTGTGTGCTGCCTTTGATGGACGTGCAGGAGAGAGGTGCAGCACACGGGGGAACGCTGCCAGAATTACGTAGGACATGATCTTACACAGGCCAAGCAGAGGAAGAATTATCTGTGCATAATGTCAGTTTAGAATAGGCTTGACGTTCTCACACCCAAACATTTCCATCTGTTCCTAAACGAAAGGAAACTGAGACAATATTCTCCTATCTTCTGGGCTAGCTATATAGGGAATAGGAAATGTTCTTTGATTTTTTTTTTTCCTTAGGATGTGTTCAGTTTTATTGCAGATTCAAAGAAGCTACAGTATAAAGTGGCTTATTTTAAGGACAGTAAATGAAATTAAATTCTTAATTCTTCTGAGAATTGGTATTGAAATTGTAGCATTGTAACACTGTGCTTAAGCTGTGGCACTTTTAGGTTGCTCTTAAAAATAAAGCTGTTTTTATGGGTTTTATGCCAACTCTGATATGAGACCTTTGTCATTGTTACTTTCAAAGTTTTCTGGACATTATCCTCTGCCTTTGCTTTCTCACTATGTATTTCTTTGTTTTGTCTAAATACCTACTTTTCCTTATGTCTTTTTCTCCTGCCATGAAAGGCTGTGTGTCTGATGACATGTTCTATTCCTTACATACTGCAGAGCGTACCAAGCTTCTAAAACACACTGAAAGGTTCACCTGCTTCCTGTTGGTTATAACATCACACATCTGCTTGTATCTTGTATTTTTTGCGGTGTAGCATCCTTGGCATCCTGCAACAGTGCTGAAGAATCTGCCAACTGTTTGACCTACCTTGCTGCCTGATGGAGATGTAGACATAATTATTTGTTAGAAGTCATTAGTTATGTTTTCCCAGCTGAACTCTCAAAATACAATTCTGCAAGCATGTCTGATTTTTAGTAGATGCAAAATAAAGCAGAGAGAACCTTAGGTGTAATGTTAAATTGTGCATATTTCTTAGTACTATGGCAAGAGATAACCTTACCTTTCACATTCTTGTTCCAGCAAGTTTGTAAACTCATCACTTTTTTCCATGTATTTGCTGTGCTTTCTCTTCTCTTCCTCTAGCTCATGCAGTGTCTGTCTGTGTGCTTTTTCCACCATTAGAAGTTGTTCCAGCATTCTTCTGTGAACTTCTTTCTGTTTCTCTACAACTTTATCAAGCTGCAAAAAGAGGGGAGGACTCCTGAAATATTTTGAAACTTTTACTTTTTTGGACTTTAATTGCTAAAAGAATTTTGAGAGCAGCTAAAAAATATACTTAATAATAATAAGCCTGGTAGCAAGGTCATCGGGTATCAGTTTAATTCTGTCTAATCCCAAAAAATTAGAAAAAATAAGGTACTGTTTTTCAAGACCTTCAGTCACCTTCCCTTCCTTCTCCTCCTGCAATGAGTGATCCTCAACTTTTTTTAACTAACTTTTTTTAACAGTTACTGTTCCCAGGGTTGTGCTTTTCTCATTGATCACTGTGGTAGAGAACCAGATGTCTTGGCAGAAGATGCATTATCCAATGCTTCACACAGTGGTGGATGACTGACTTTTGGTTGAGTAGAAATAGCTGCTTCACCTAGCTGCCTAGGAAACAAGAGCATTAAATTGCTTTTGTAAGGTAGAGGTAGATCAAAAAGCAGTTTTCTGGTTTCACAATAAATGCATGCTTGTGCCAAGAGTGCAGAACAATCCTGTCTCTTGTGCTTACTCTGAGCATAGCTCTGGCTTTCTGGAATAAGTAAGTGCTGAATTTTTTAATAGTTAGAAGTATTTCTTTTTAATGGTGGCATTTCCTGTTATGTTCCTTAGATTGCACATGTTGTTGAGGTCTTTTTCTTTTATATGGCACCTTTATAGCACAGTTTGAGTGTAAAATTCCCTTCCTCAAGGATTTTTGCTTAACACCTGATCAGAGAATCATTAAACTTGGAAAAACTTCCAAGATCATTGATTCTCATTCTTGACCAAACACCATCATGCCAACTAAACCATAGCACTAAGTGCCATGCCTGGTCATTTCTTGAACACTTTCAGGGATAGTGACTCCACCACCTCCCTGGGCAGCCCATTCCAATGCCTGACCGCCCTTATAGCAAAAAATGTTCTATTTTTCTAAATATTACTATATAGTGATATTTTAATATAAATAATCTATTTTAGCTTTTGGCAATAAATTTTGATTTTTCTAAACCACAGAGGTATTGGCATTACTGTTCACTAGACTTATGCTGTTAAAATAACTCCACAAAAACTGTGATTAGAAGAGAGAACTAATTCTGAAGATTCAGTTACAATTTTGAGTTCAGTGTGTGACTGAACAAGTGTGTGTGTGAAACCATGAGTGGTTTTCATCCTTGGGCATCACTGATCTAGCTGAAGTTTCAGGGAGGATCACTGGAGGCCATCAAAAGATCTGGGAAGAGTCTGTATTTGTGACCAACTTTGTTCCCTGTTTGTTCCCCTATGGAGACTGCCTTCCTCATCAGGTCAGCATAGGAATCCTTGTGTCCTTTTTGGAAAAGAGAAATTTTGAGCTCACAGCCCAGTGCCTCCTTCTAACCACAGTCTATTCTAGTAGGCCAATCTGATTGTAGTGTTTCACTTTATTAATAGGCAAGAATTCACAAATGGGCAGTGTGGGAAGCAAAGCTGGTTCTGGTTCTCTGATGTTTCCCCCACAAGGAATTCTGTGTGCCACAAGAAACAGTGGGGTTTCAGATTCTTAGGGCCACTGCTTGTTTTGGACAATTTAATTCCAGGGAGTATGATTAATTATCTTTTTCTCATGTTTATTCACAGTTTGGCCAATAGAAATTATGACAGAGAGAGCTGGAATGCCTAAATACGACTTTCTTGAATAAGTGAGGATATCATCAATTTCTGCTTAGGTTTCCAAGTTTACCCCTGCTTATCTCAGCTTCTTCTAAATCTACACATATTCTCTTATGTTCTTCCAAAACAATTGTTAACCTTTTGTTGACAATGCTGTGAATGAAGAAGAAAGAGCTGTTGACAAGGCTTTGAAGATGGTTTGAGTCCAAAATATTCCAACAAAAAAACTTTTTAGCCATTTTTTTCTGCACTTATGGCATTAGAGAGTCTTTTCTGATGTAACATAGCTGAGCTTGTTTCATGCATGATCAAGACATTCAAAGAAATCTGTGATTATTTGTTTTGCTGCTATTTTGTGGTGCTCTTACAGCAGATCATTGAAGTTTTTTTACCTTGTTCAGTGGTCATTTGTATGCTTTACCCTAGCAAGGTAAGACTGCTTTCTGGAATCATGATCCTGAAGCAGGACCTCCCCTGGAAAAACATTTCTTACCTAAACCCTTGCATATGCAATCTCTCTTAGTAAGCAAGAGTCGCCTTATACAGGAATCTTTTGGCTGTTCTTTCTATATCTTTTAAAGCAGTTGAAAACTGGTTTGCCTTAAAAGGTCAGGTTGAGGAAAACTGTCCATTTTAATTTCTTCACATTCTCCCTTTTTTTACCAGAAGTGGAAATTTTAAAAAATGAAATATTTTGTTTAGCTTTTAACTTCCAAAAAGATGTTTTATCAACCTTTCCCCCACCCCACCACCCAAGATTTCAGAAGGGTTTTTGGAACAGGTATTACAGATGCATAAATGCCATCACCTAAGTTTCTAATCCTTGTCTTTTTAAAGGTGATGCTGTCAGGTGAATATACAGTGTTGTCAGAAAGCAATCTGTCTCCTGATTTTTGACAGAGTTCTGATGCAGTGCTGCTTGCAACAATGGCTCTGTTTTGCTGAAATTGATATGAGCTGGGCATCAGCTTTGCAGGAGTGCCTGCTGGTCTCAGCCCTCAGCGTGAGGTCAGACAGGCTCCAGGGGTGGGGTTGAGAAAGTAAAGGCATTTATGTGGAGTGGACCACCACTTTGAACAAGCATATGTAAAAATCTGAGGAGATATGTAAATTGCTGTCATAAGAAAGCACTGACATTTCTGGCTACAATCTGATCATAAGTTATTCTTGTTCTGAACATGTAAATGCTTGATTGAGATGGGGGTTAGTCATCAGCCGAGCAACATAACAAAGTATAAAATAGTCCTGCTTCTTGCACTGTTTGGTAAAGGATATGGGACCTACCAGGAGGGTTTTATATGTTCTGTATATTTTGTTTGCTTTAGAGTACTTCTTGAATGGCTACAAGAGGTTAATTCAAGCAGTAATTTAAGCAGCACATATACAAAAATAAAAGTTATTAATTCCAGGGTGCTGTTTTGCAGCTCTTCATGCTTTACGCTTCACAGTAGCACATTTGTCACTGTGGAGATTACAACAGCTGGTGTTCAGGATGGGTGAGGTGTGTATTCAAGGCAGGGAGTTGAAGCAAAGAATTTTAAATGGGAAAAAGAAGAGTAGGTCTCTTGGGGAGACTTGCTCATATCAAAGAGAAAACTATGAGCTGCTGTATTAAAGCAGTTTGCATGTTGCAGTTTTCTCCTGTTGCTGGGAGCAGAAGATGCATTTCTGTTTCTTTTAAGCATGCTGTCAAATCATTTTTACTGTGAGCATTTGGCTGTTGTGGCTGGGACCAAGGTGGAGATTGTGAGCTCGGGAGGGAACGGAAGAAGTGCTAAAACTGTCTCCTGGTGCAGGTGGCTCATAAAGGAGAGAACTGGAGAGACAGCAATCCTATATCACAATTGATGCACACACTTGAGATCTGTGTGTGAGATCTGTACCAGGGCATTTGGCCTTGTGAACTTGTGTGTCCCTGTGCAGCACACCTTCCCCTCTCTGCCTGACCACACAGAGCAGAGCCTGGGACTGGGCTGCGGCATTTCCATGTGGTTTGTTGAGAAAATGATGTGGCCCTCTGCAAGATAAGGGCACCTCCCTTGGGAGCAAATTTGACTCTTGCATTTGCCCTGTGAGATCTTGTGGCTGACTCCCACGTCTCCAGCAGAGAAGAGAGAGAAGTCATGTGAAATCCTGCTGGTGTGAGATCCTCACACAGAAGTGTCTCCAGCAGCCCTGGGTTCCTCAGATTGCTCTGGCCAAATGCTAGGTCTGCCCATGCAGAAATATCCATTTATATGCATGCACACAAGTTTACTCAGCCTACACAGTTCTTAGCTAAAAACCACAGAGGACTAATAAGCAGCAGTATAAATGTCTTCTGTTGAAAATTAAAGTGATAAAATCTTAATTAAGTGATTTGTTGTTTTGTTCTTGCTAACCATATGGGCTTTTTGCTAGAATTAATACTTGAACATGCTGTACAATACAATGGAAAATAAGAGGCATAGCCTTACGTAACTGTGAATAGTTGAGCAAGCTAAAAATTCACATGAATTTAATAGTTGAACTACATTTTGCCACTGACTCTTGACTGAAGTCAAACTAGGATGGTGTGTCTCATACCCATTACATCAGAACTGAACTGTTCATCTTTTGCTTTTTAGATTGTTTTGTGTTTGGTGGTGTGCCAGAAGAAAATCCAGGGTAGTTACATTTTTTATCCAAAGTTCAGTGTAATATTATTCCTGTTAATAATATCCTCACAGTCATTGTTTATACATGTATGATCCTGAGTTTAGGATTACCAGAGATTTTGGGAGCGCTCCATCCCTTGGCTTTTTCAACCCTAACTGAGCCAAATTTCCATGCAGATACATTGGTGGTCTTCTCCTGAGTGCCACCTTGTCAGCACTGCTGTTTGAGTCTCTTCCTGTGACTGACTTATTGGTGCCCTACAGCTGTGGAGGGCAAGTTTCCAAGGAAAGTTTTACCAAGACTTACCAGATGTTGTGAGGACACAATTGAATAGACTTTGTTAAAATACTGATGAGGGTGCATCTTTCTCCAAGGTGATTGGCAATGGGGTTTCAAAAATGGATTCAGTTTTTAGTTATTCTTGATGGATGCAAAATACAGGGCTTTCCTCTCATTTAATTTTTTTTATAGGAGCTCTCAAAGTGGTAGGAGGTTCATTCTATTTCGAACAGTAAGGCACATGATTATTTTTATCTTTGGCTATATTATTGGGAAAGTTAGAAACCAGAATCTGCTTTCTGATGCTATGAAGAGAAAAAGACACCACAAATTCTGCAATGTCTTCATCTTTACCTCTCTTTTCCTACATCACTATCTCTGATTTTTTAGATTCCTTTAAAAAACATTGTTTATTTTTGAATCAGGGAAAATTATTCTTACATTGTTATTCCGCATTTACTAGAATGTTAAATACTCTTCATTGTCTATTCAAGAGAAGTGGAGATTGATCTGAAGACAGGTTTTCTTTTCACAAAAACTGGCTACTTCTAAATTTATAAGCCACACAGAAATGAAAAACCTTTTCAGGCCTTTGAATCAGAAACAAAACCTAAATAAAAGTCTAATTTATTTTATGGCACTCAAATATAAGTGCTAACAGTAATCTTATCTGAAATTTTTAGGTTTTGGGTGTTTTAGGCAGAAAGAAATAGCTGTAGAGCAAGTTTGATTGAAAAAAACAATTTTCAAAAAAAATCAATTACTCTTTCCTCATGGCCAAAGAAGAAATGGTTTTGGTCTGTCACACTGCTCATAGGTTTTGCAGAGGAAGATGTATTAATGCTGCTTTTTACATTTCTTCACCTATGAATCTTGTTCCCAATGAGTAAAGTTGTCCAGTCACCAATTTTTCCCACTACATTCTTAATCAAATTTGCCAAGAAACTTTATGTTTAGAATAGATAAGAGAATTGTGAGCGAAAGTTAAAGGACTGGAAGTCTTACGGTTGCCTTGTGAAATTAATTGTAATTTCACTTGAGTTTTGGGAAGATTCTCTGTGTTCAGAGCTACCAGGCAAATCTTTCAAGGGTGAGATGCACTTGCCGATACAAAGGTACATTGCCCTAGTAGCAAAGGGGAGAATTTCAATGGTCTGTTCCTGGACTTTGACTGGTTCCACCTCTCCTTTGGTCTTTATATGTGTTTTAAAAATAAAAAAAAAAGAAGAAAACCTCCAGAAAAACAACAAAATGGATCTCTGACATAATTCAGGGGGATTTTGAAACTGAAATGGTGGAATTCCTGCCTATTACAACATTCTTTGGTTTACCAAGACCAAGAAGTGCCAATGATACTTCTACCCTTTCAGTTGCTCACAGGTGTTTACCTTTGCCTTTTGAAATTGGCAGATTTGGTGGTGCTAGAAATTATTTCTCTACCATTAAATGTAAGAAGGAAGGAGTGTATAAACTTACATAAAGTAACAGACTGAGCTTATGTTTTCAAACTGTTTTGGACTTCTCAAATAATTTCCATTTGTGCTCAAAGTTTCTGTGACGTAATACCACAATGTTCTAAAATAAATTAAGCTTCACAGGTGAACTTTATCTGTTTCAGATTACAACCAGAGATTTTAACCTTTGAGCTTCTGAAATGAGAGTTGATCTTTTGCCTGACATGATTTTGGCTGGAATGATCTCTGTGTCCTTAGGTACATTTCTGTTGAAAAAACTTGTAAAACACTCGATAGAGGACTTTTATTCTTAATTTCTGCTTTTATTTTGTGATGTTTATACTGAGTAGTATGTTAAAAAATGTTCATCTGAATTGGAGACAACTACCTAGGATAAAAAAACCACAATCTGATGTGAAGGTGTTTTAATATCCAGATTTGCATTTCAGGGCAGAAACTAATCAGATAACATTGTTCAGAATGTATGGCAGCAGCTGCTGCAGTGTAATTAAACTGAAGGTTACTTAGGTATAACATGAGAATATTAGATTTCTTCCTGGATGAAGTTTCTAATGCTAGCTCATCATAGTAACTCTTGAGACCAAGCAGGTATCCCCATGACTGCCCCTGAGTTAATGGGAGCAGGGATATGCAGAGGTGCACAGCTGTGTCATTGCTGCTGGACGGGCCTCCATGACACAAGTGGGGACTGGTGAGGCTTCTGCTTGTATGGGCTGGGAGTGTGGATAACAGAAGGGGAAAAGAAACGAAAAATGAGATGGTTTAGACTGAATTAGACAGAATCATGTATGTTGATGTGTAAAGCCCCCAGTCTGCAGTATAAGTGAGGATCACTGGATTCAGGTCCCAGCTGGACCCTGGACTTTGTTCTGCACTCACTCACACTCGTGTTCCATTCCAGATTTACAGCTCATTTGCCTCCTTCCCCAGCAGTGGGTGAGATTTTCTGTTGAATTTGGTGGGAACTATAGTTAAATATCAATTACTCATTCTTACCTCTCCCATAGGCTTTTCATAGACATCTTCTTGCCATTGCTCAGCCTTTGTTTGAATAGCGTCTCGCTGGAGTGCCTCTAACACCTTCTTGGGAGTAACAAAGCCATATTGTGCTTCAAGCAAAGCCAAGTCAATTTTTTCAGCCTTAAGTACTCCTATAACTTCATCTTGAGCCTGCAGAAACACAAATTAAGGCTTTATCTTGTTAAACTGTATTTATGTATTTACAGGTTAGCTCTCTGCTTTTGATTTTAAGAAAACTGAAACACTTCTAAAATAACACTGTGTGTGTAAAGTGCTCCAAAACAGTCAGTAATATGAAGACAGTTGAAAAGCATGAGGGAAGTATTGGTCTTTGTATTTTATTAGTTCAACATAAACTCCAAGATCTTCAGACCCTTCATCGAAGCTTAAGTACTTCTTTAAGGATGAGATTATTTTGCTGTTTCTGGACTAATGTGTAGCATTCACAAGAAAGTTTCAGGACAATGTATGTCTTGTGGTTTTAGAAATTGACTTGTTAGTGCAGGGTGGTGGGATGTTTCTTGAAACCTGAAAGTGTTGTACATTCTGTATGTTTTGGGTGTAGATGACTTCTGTGGTTTAAACTCACTACAGATGTGTCCCTCTTGGGTTTTCCCCCCAGTCTGCATCCTCTGGTGGTGAAGGTTGGCCCCCTGCCTCTGTTGCAGTGATACAAACTGCATGAACTGTCTCAAACATCTGTGCTCTGCAGCCCTTTGAGTTAAAAACAAGAATGTGCTAATCCTAGAACGATAGAATAGGAAGGAAGGGAATCAGAGAGAAGGATCTATCAGGGGAGGGGAAGACTTCTGTATACCCATTTATGACTTTAAACAAATGTTAAAATATAAAATAGTCTTTCTAATCCTTAGCAGAAAAAAATAGAAGAGTGGTCTTTGTACACCTTGAATGTTCTGAAACTTGGAAAGGAATGACATCTAAATTAGAAACTTAGTTATGGTTGGATTGACAGCTGATCTCCAGTGATTTGACCTGGCAGCACTGGAGGTGTAAAAGAAGGGATAAACGATGATTTCCTATCTTTTTCATTCATAGTGCTGCTTCCTTTTAAATTTCAGATGTGATTTAAAATGTTCATGTCAGGCTCATTGTTTTCCAGTTTCTCATTTCCCTATTCCAGCTTTAAACATCCACAATTGAAGAGTGTGTATATTTGTTTATTTTTATTTATATTTTTATATTTATATGATGCACATATAATGAATAATGTGTGTATAATATAAATAAATATATGAAAATATGTGACATATGAACTTTAACCTAAATTAAGAAGGCTAAGTGGGGAGGAGAGAAATGTTTTGCAAACATGGAAATTGTTCTGTTTGGATAATGAAGCAATCTGTAGAAGTTTGCCTTGAATCTACCCTCAAATATTGGTGCAGCTATTAAATATTCATATCCCATGGGTGTTCTGTTCAGCATGTCTGTATTATTATATAAACATACACACACACTTTAAGAATAGAACTACCCGGCTGCTGTTTAGGTAATAAACTCTGACACCATGTGCTGCACCCATTTAGGCCACTTTGGCCAGGGTGCTTTTTTCTGTGCCTATGAGCAGTTTTCAAGTTACTTCTGTGTAATATGCCTACCACAGAAATGTTTTCCCTGCTCACTGGAAATCTGGTTCCCACTTCCTGAAACTATGTTTGACCAGGTTAAGCATCATTTACTGCTTGACAGATGGTTCCTTTTCTAGGTAGAAAAATTCTCACTTTTAAAATGCAGTAACTTGTGGGCTAAGTGGCATGTAACACTTCTGCTTTGTGTTATGGGAAATAAAATGGGTATTTTGATTTTTCTAGCCATAAGTGTTAGAATACTGTTAAATGAATTATTTCTTGTGAAGTAGCACTTACTGTTTCATAGGGAGTAAAGCTCATGGCTTCATAGGAGTGGAAGGATAAGACATAATTAAATATATTAAAGGTCTGTAATATGGTCTCGTTATCAACCATACAATGACAAATACTTTGTATTCAAGATACTTGGAATGGAGCAGCACAGGTAGAAAGTTTTATGAGTTGTTTGCTTTGAGAGTTACTTGTGGTACAAAGATCATGTTTCCTGTCTGATAGCTATAATAGCTATAATTTTGTGGTGTTTTTGTATACTGCAGTTCATATTTGTCCTGTATCAGATTGTGTGAGGTGTTTTTTTAACATAAAAGCAGCATATGTTTGTGGTGGAGGGGATTATGGGGGTGGAGGGTGGAGTGTCTTTTAATTCGGAGTATAAAGCAGGACAATATATTACCTGTAATTCACCCTCGAGGACGCTGAGAAGAAATAGCAAGTCATCACGAGAGAGATCCTCTCTTTTCTTGACAGAACTTTTTTGCTTTTTCTCTGCCTTTGGACTTCTCAGGATGGTGCTGGCTCGGGCTACATCGTCCTTGTCTTTCGGCTGTGCTTGTGCATTTCCTTTCCCACTGTAACCAACCTCTCCTTTGTGGTGGTCTTTCGCCCTTGGTTGGCTCAGCTTTGGTCTGGTTGGGCTTTCGGTGCTGTTAGTTCTGGAATGCATGGTTTATATCTCTGAAGCTGAAGGAAACTGGGGAGTAAAGTAATTGTTTTAGCTAACAGAGACTTTAAAACTATTACCATAATTGATGGTGGGTATTATTCCCTCCAGAATGGTAATTCTCCTTCCACACAAGGCTATTTGTCATTTGACAAAAGCTGACAACCTTATGCAAACCAACAGGACTGGGCTGTGATCCTTACTGGATGTCTGTAGTGAAGTGAGTGTTTACTGGTCTTATGCCATTATAACAATTCCTTCCTTGATACCTCAAAGGCATCTTTAGCAGCAGCACTGGGTGCATCATTGCAAACCACATTTCCTGTTTTGTGACAAGGCCTACCTCACCTTTCAGGTAGATACTTATTATGATGAGGCAGATTTAGGCTCAGAAGCTTTTCACTAGGAAGATCTTTCTGTTCCACTTTAGTAGTATTCTGTTTTCCTTTGTTTACCCAAGGGAGAGCACAAAAGCAGTCCCCCACTTCTACAAGGTGCAGAGGCTGCATTATCCATGTTTGGCAAAATGTAGGGACTGACAAACACATCCAGACTGCAAGAAGTGAGCAGCAGTGTAAATGCTCCCTCCCCAGCACCATCACCACCAAAACCAAACTACTTCTTTGCAGATGATGACTTGTCCACCCTTAAAACCATGCAGTATAAAACCCTGCTACTTCTTTAGTGCTTGAGTCCAGCACTCTAAAGGTATTAGTACCTGGTGAAAGGGAGACTTATCCTAACTAGGCCCCTTTGAAGTGCCACTGTTAAGGAAACACACTCTAATGCCTTTGCAGATAAATGACTAACACTGTGTAAATATTGATTAACCTCAGGAACTCGTGTTTTGGTTATCACCACTCAGATTAAGGAATGAATGGATTATAGTCCACCTCTGCTGGAAAACTGTGGTCATGGATACCATCTAGCAAACAATAATCCAATAGTGTGATTCAAAGGTGAAATTCAGCATGTTCCAAACACAAATAAGGCACAATTTTTCTTATTAAACTGCCAAGCTAATTGCTGAAAAGTCCAGAAAATCATTATGGTCTATGATAGGCACTAGATGATTTCTTGGCTGCTTTTTTGCCTCAATTCTGTGGCTGATAAAATTCTTTGGGAGCTTCCTCCCCTACTCCCACCAGTTTCTGACTAAATCTTAAACTCTGTGACTACACTTGTTAACTGTAGTAACTTTCCTCTGAATGCTAAGAATCATTCCTTTTGTTGTTTTTCTGCAGGAACAGAGGAGGTGGAAGTAGCTTTTGGTTTATAATGGATGACGTCTGAGAGTGGGGTGAATTGATCAGAAACATTACCAAAAAAGAAAGTGACATTTTCTATAACATTTTGATTTGAAGCACTTATTAATAAGAAAAACTTGTTCCTCCAGGTCTCAGAAAACTAAGGTGTGTCAGATTTGCATGGCAGTGTGCACTGGAAACTGTTTTGTGAAGCATCAAGAATGTCAGTTTAGGATGGGAGCTTACTCTAGTGCATGTAGGAAACCAAGAGTTTTTCATAGCAGGCTGGCAGCATTGTTAGCTGGTGATGAGTAGTTTTAGTTGGTGTTCATCCTGTTTTTCCAGTCAAATGCAGATTCCCTTTATTCACTGTGGTGTATTTATTAGGATACTCACCTTTTGCCTCTTGCTTACAGATTGTTATTACTTGGGAAGAAGGCTGTTGCCTTTGAGTGTGAGATGCTGGATGCCCACTTGGCTTTTGTATGCAGTCAAAGGCTTATGCTTTTAAGTTCAAATGCAGGAGTAGTGAGCTAAATCAGGTAACCTGAGTGTACTCTGAGCTTGTCTGTGGACTTTGACACCACAAGCACAGGACACTATGAAATGCATAAATAGTACAAGAAACTCCATTCATGCATGCAAGTTGCAGCAGTGGTATAAACTGGATATCAAGCTAGTATCAAACTTGTTGACAACAAATGTCAATATGACATTTCTTGTGGAAGGAAAGGGAAACTAGCATATGAGGGCATATGAGGAAAAGCCTCATACCTTTTCAAGCTTTGGAACTGGGTGCACCTGGAAATCCTGAACTTGGAAAAATAGTCCAAGAAGAACATCGTCCCCTGCATTTACTCTTGCAGTGTATGTATGTTGTTTGCTTCAAGGCCACATGCCACCCAGCATTCACGGCTGTAGAGAGTTACCTCTGACTCCCTTTTAGGTTTGTCATTACTTCCTAATCAGGTAGATCAGTCCTTATTGCACTGGCTAAAGGCACTTGGTCCTTGGGAAGGCCAGCTGACTTGCCAGACAGGCTGTGCTCCTATGGAGAATGGCATCTTTTCAGTCTCCCAGGATGGAGTTTTTCCTTTTCTTGTTGAGAGCACTTACATACCCTTTACCTGTATTCTGTTCTGACATTCCTGAATGCCAGTGCCTACTAATCTGCTAATGCAAATATTTATCCAATTAAGCAATTAATGTGAATTATTAGAGGTCGAAGTGAAATACTAGAAGTATACTTCAAGCACTTTTTAAATGGTACTTGAATGTAGCTGATGACAGGCACAAGCACTCTGGCATTAGTAGCCTGCTTTATTAACATATTCTTCCTCAGTTAATTTATTTAAACTTTCCTAACTACCTGTACATGGATAGGCATTATTATTTATAGCATTGCCTGTCTACAGAAGGCTGTTAGTGCTAATGTGGTTGTCGGAGGAGGTAGGTGTGAGTAACAGAAGGGTGATTTAAAACTTTAAATGCACAGTGTAACTGCTGGTGTAGCAAGACAAGTGCAATCTCTGAAATGGACAAAACCAAACATCCCATTCACCTACCCTGAAACTCCTCACCACCTTCAAATTTTCAAACTCCCTAGATGTGCCACCACCTAAGGAATTCACCTTCAAAACATGCCTGACGTTTTGGACAGAAAATCAGCTACTCATGCCCTTGCACCATGGCACAAAACGTAAAAAAACCCCATTCTGTTCCAGAGGGTGCTGGTTTTCTGCAATGCTATTAGACCCTGGAATGACTGTAATGAGACATTTAAGACAGAAGTAGCATAATTTGAAATTTTTCACCAGTGTGTTTAGGTACATTGGGTTATTTTCTGTTTTGAGGGACTCTTTCCATATTCTTGAAGGGTTAATGAAGAGCAATGTTTTTTTTTTCATTGGTTTTTTCACACAAGGTAAAAATGTAAATAGACCCATAAAATTTATGAGTATCATAAATGTTGTTTGTGGCACCCAAAACAATGAGCCCAAGTTCTCAAGATTAGACTAATGGGCATAAAATTTGCCTTTTTGCCTATCTGTGTCAAGCAACACTTACATTCTATAATGATGGCATCTGTGTACAAGAAAGGTAAGAAAAGAAGTGTTCCTTCTTGTAACAGAGTTTGTCATTCACAGAGGCTCTGTGATTTTTCCTGGAGAGTTGACTCCTGTGTCTTGTGGCAAACCTTTTATAGAAGTTAATTTAAGCCCTTTTTCTCTGTACCACCAGGAGGGATGACAATATAAGATGCTGTGGAAAACAGTAAACAAGTGCTAAAAACAAATTGATTGTGTGTGCTTTGCATTTGTGATCTTTCATCTGTTTTGGCTCAATTACTAAACAGCAGGGATTGTAGCTATATAGACAGAAGAAGCAAGGATACTTGCCAGCATTCTCATATGATACATTATGTACCATTGCTTGCATCAAAATTAAAAGAAGATTGAAAGGGAGCATCCAGATCATGAAGTCACATCTCCTGAAATCACAGACTACTGTGCTGTGGGTACTTAACAGAGATTAGTTTTCTGTCATTGCACTAATGGAATAGCCTAAAACCTGTGTTCTGCACTGTTGTGCTTTCCTTCATGTTCTGAGGTGCCAGATTTCAGAAGATTTTGCATTGAAATTACAATGTGATGGTTCTCAAGCTTATCAGATGTGTGCAGCTTGGTAGGCCGGGTCCAGATTCTAAGAGGAATGACATTGGGTTACACTGAAACATTCTAGTAAATCAAGTAATTGCAAGTTAGAGACTCAGCAGAGTTTGCATCTATTCTTAGTTGTTCTTGTTCTTTTCTGTGTTTTAAAGATCTTGTTCATCTCTGAACTGAATTATGTCCTTCTGCAAACAAAGGAGACGTTTTTTCTTGGTGATGAACAAGCAATCTGAAGTGTCAAAATATACTTTCCTTAAGAGCCAGGTGAATTAAGCACCAAACGTTTCTATGATGTTAACTTGGTCTCTGCCCTCTCAATCATATTCTGAAGTAGAGGTTAAACTGCGTATGTTTCTTTGGCAGCAGTGAATTAGCAGGTGGTTCTGAAATCCCTGCAACTTTTCTGGGAAGGACTGAAATATCCTTCAGAGATGGCTTCATCATAGAGTTTTAAGACATATTTTGGCATTTGTTTTCACCTTTGGCGTTTTCCTTTTTAGTCAGTGATTGATTTATGAACTAGCAAAATCCCTTACAGGACTACATATTCCATTAATCCCAGGGTGAGCGCCCTGAATTGTTGAGAACTTGCTGCTTCTTGCAAAAATCCGTGACTAACCAAGGAATTATGTCGCTCTGGTTTTATCATCCCTTAAAGGGCGGTGCTTTTGATTTGCTGAAATGCATAGGACTCTTCTCAACAGACTGACTTGTAAAAGGAGTTGAGATCTGATTGTTTGGCAAACCAATGTAATGGGAGAGTGCAGAGCACATGTCTTTTACAAAGAGGTCTGCAGTCCTCTGCCCATCACTCTAACTGTGGACTGAGGCAAGAAGAAAAGGGGTCCCACAAAGGTTTGTCTTGTTCATCTCATGCAGTCCTGCTGGGACCTTTAGGCCAGCAAATGCACCTCCTGAACTGGGGTAGAACATGAAAAAGTTTTTTTTAATAATTAGAATCCCAGGATATGGCCATTTCACAGCATCACTGAGCCTTTTCTGGAACTGTTACCTTGGGATAGAATGTGATTAGGACATTTATTCTTCCCCTAAGTGAAATATATTGCTTTGTGGTAGATTTGCCCCACTTCCAAAGAACATAGCCCTTCCT